TATACAGATGTACATAAAGGAGTTTTCAATTGAGCAAAAATTGCATATTACCAAAATTACCTTCGAAAGGCCTCTTTATATTCAGGATCTGAGCTCTTGAAAACTCAAAACCAAAGAATTAACTTGTTTCATTTTTGCAAGTTTGTATCTGTGGCCTTATTTTTCCAAGAGGAGTAGAAGACAAGATCTGATTGGGGTGCAGGGGATAAATATGGGTTTACAAAGGGTTATTTTTTCCTCCTATCTCCTGAGACACACAATATTGAAATTGGGCCAATTAATCCTACAGTGGCCTCTAAGAGTTCAAGTAAAAGGAAGAGTTACATGTCTCTCACTTTAAATCAAAAGCTAGAAATGATGAAGCTTAGTAAGGAAGGCATGTCCAAAGCTGATATAGGCCGAAAGCTTGGCCTTTTGAACCCAACAGCTAGCCAAGTTGTGAAGGCAAAGGAAAGGTTCTTGAAGAAAATTAAAGCACTGCTCCAATAAACACACAAATGATAAGAAAGCAAAGTGTTCTTGCTAATACGGAGAAGGTTTTAGTGATCTGGATAGAAGATCAAACCAGCCACATATTCCCTTAAGCCAAAGCCTCCTCCAGAACAAGTCCCTAACTCTCTTCAATTCTAAGAAGGCTGAGAGAGCTGAGGAAGCTGCAAAAGAGAATTTTGAAGCTAGCAGAGGCTGGTTCATGAGATTTAAGGAAAGAAGCTGTTTCCGTAACATTAAAGTGCAAGATGAAGCAGCAAGTGCTAATGTAGGAGCTGCCGCAAGTTACCCAGAAGATCTAGCTAAAATCATTGATGAAGGTGGCTACACTAAACAACAGATTTTCTATGTAGATGAAACAGCCTTAGAAAGACGATGCCATCTAGGACTTTCATAGCTAGAGAGAAGTCAATGCCTGGCTTCAAATCTTTTAAGGACAAGCTGACACTTTTGGTAGATGCTAACACAGCTGATGACTTTAAATTGAAGCCAATGCTCATTTACTATTCCAAAAATCCTAGGGCTCTTAAGAATTAATACTAAATCTTCTCTGCCTGTGCTTTGTAAATGGAACAATAAAGTCTGGATGACAACACATCTGTTTACAGCATGATTTACTGAATATTTTAAGCCCACTGTTGAGAACTACTGCTCAGAAAAAATGTATATTTCTTCCAAAATATACTGCTTATTGATAATGCACCTACTCACCCAAGAGCTCTGATGGAGATGTACCAGGAGGTTGATGTTGTTTTTTATGACTGCTAACACAACATCCATTCTGCAACCCATGGATCAAAGAGTATTTTTCAGCTTTTAAGGCTTATGATTTAGGAAATACATTTTGTGAGGATATAGTTGCTAGATAGTGATTTCTCTGATGGATCTGGGCAAAGTAAATTGAGACCTTCTGGAAACAATTCACCATTCTAGATGCCGTTAAGAATATTATGGGAGGAGGTAAAAATATTAACATTAACAAGAGTTTAGAAAAAGTTGATTCCAACTCTCATGAATGACTTGGAGGGCTTCAAGACTTCAGTGGAGGAAATCACTGCAGATATTCTGGAAATAGCAAGAGTACTAGAATTAGAAGTGGAGCCTAAAGATGCAGCTGAATTGCTGCAATCTCATGATTAAACTTGAATGGATTAGGTGTTGCTTCTTATGAATGAGCAAAGAAAGTGGTTTCCTGAGATGAAATCTACTCCTGGTGAAGATGCTGTGAACATTGTTGAAATGACAACAAAGGATTTAGAATATTTCATAAATATAGTTGATAAAGCAGCAGCAAGTTT